GACTTATTAATTTTTTTGATAAAACTTTACAGAATAATTTGTTTTCTTCAAAATAATTATTTTTCATTTATTTATCATTCTGATTGTTCATATTATAAAACTCAATGCAAGCATTAAAAAAAAAAAAATCTACTGATACTGTGCTGCTGTTGCTATTTTTCCCAAATCACTAAAAATAAAGACTGCCATTTATACTCCGGTAATTATTCTTAAAATCGGACGATTAAAATACCGGATATTCTATTGGTTAAATTGATTTCATATTTATGGGAATTTAATAAAATTTAAGAATTTTCTTTAGAAAAGTTGTCAAGTATTTCGGTTGTTTGGTACTTTAGTAGGATTTAAATTAGGTATGGTGGCTCAAAAGTTTCACTGGTTTATCGTATACTGTTTTGGATTCCGAATAATTTCATCGTTGCCCAGAGTTTTAAGTTTATATTTTTATCGGTTCTTTGTTAAATTCGCATTTTTATTTTTCAACGTAATCAATATATCTTGCGCTGCATAACATTTTAACTCTCTTAAAAACATTATAATATTTCAGGCGCAATTGAAAGCAAATAACTAAAAGTTTCAAGATTTTAATTTCTTATACCTCAAATATTTGCTTAAAGATCGTTATTTCCGCTGTTGTCTCAAATATTGTTGCTAGAGCCCTTTTTTTTTTCTTCTTTAATAATTCTAATCCTGAAATTTCTTCAACCCCACTTCAAATCTTCGTCTCAATTCTTCTTATCCTTAATGCAACCATCTTTAAATAAATCAAATATTAATTGAAATCAACCGAGAACTTTTCTTAAAATAACAGTTTCTCTGAGGAAAGATTTGTTTCATATTTCTTTAAATAAATATTTTTATTCTTTTCCGAAAATTTCAAATATTCTTTGAAAATATTATCACACACCGTTTAAAGATGCTTTTTAATATTTATTGTGTGTGGCGATATATATGCACGTTTTCTATTTTCTGTATTTGCTCTAATTGACAAATATTTTTAACGACTATGTTTTATTTATTTATATATATATATATTTTTTTTTATCGAAAATTTTGAGTCTTACCTTTAAGGCTTGTCAAATTCTTAAAATCAAACAATACGCGTTTGTGTATCTCTGTAAGAAACCGCTATGTCAACAGTCTTTGTTTCTCCGAAATTACCCAAATAACAACTTTTTTAAAATTCTCGTTTCGTGAAGGAGTTAAAAATATAGTAAACGAATTTATTGGAAACTCTTTTTGGTAATCTAAATATTTATCACAAGTAAAAGACGTTTTATTCTTAATTTTATCTTTTTTTTTTCGAGTAATTTCTCTAAATATTACATCTCATTTTTTTTCTCCCTCCATTTTTTTTTTACCTTTTTTGATATAGTTTTACTTACTCTCATAAAAAATATAGTAAAGGAATTCATTGGAAACTCTTTTTGGTAATCTAAATATTTATCACAAAGAAAAGATATCTTAATTTTATCATTTTTTTCGAGTAATTTCTCTAAATATTGCATCTTATTTTTCTTCTCCCTCCATTTTCTAAAAACTTTTTTTTTATATAATTTTACTTACTCTCATAGTTCTGTTCTTCTCGTATATATAATGTGAATTCCTAGATAATAAGAGTAGTATGGTAGTAAAGCCATTAAATTTTTTTTAGATTTTTTAAAAAAAAGTAGTGTGAAAACTGTCACTATTTATTCCACCACTAAAACAGTCCTGTTATGCTTTGTAATAAGTCTTGATGGTTGAGGATATTTTACTCCAGAAAAGAAGGCAGATATGAACTGGTTTTTACTACCAGTTTTTTTCTCTTTTTCGGGACACAAACAGCCCTGGTCGTAAAAGTTAAGTACTCATGTAATAGCCAGTTTTTGAACGAGATGGCTTGGCGGTAGAGGGTTTACAGTTTCATAACCAACAGCATGGTGGCGGCAAGGTGGTCAGTGTCGCGCTTCATCCACCTTTACTTACCAGGCAAGCCTTTTTTGTACCCATCTTTTCGGTGACAGAATCTTAATCCTTTGCAGTGATGTGTCAGTGTTTTAACTATTGTGCCATTGCCTTGTGTTCATTAATAAGAGTAAGCAAACATAAAAAAAAAAAATGCTAGTGTTTGAAAAACATTAGGCAAAACAGTGATAAGTAATATTTTTACATCTTACTGTTCCCTAGTATTGTTTATTAGTAGGTATTTTAAAATTTCCGGAATTTTCCTTTGATAACGCTGTATTTCACTGAAACATTTTATTCGCTAAATGGGTATCGTGGCGTTATTCACGTAAAATGCGCTTCTCAGCAATTTGAAAATGTGGCTTATCATTAATGATTATAGTAATTTTTTTTTTCTAAAAAAATTGCGAAGTTTTAAGTGTGATGCGAAACAATGCTGCGTTTTTGTCACTTACACCAATCGTGAAAAATAAGTTTTTTAAAATGTTAAAAAATTGAGATAAAAAGGATTTTTTTTAAATAATTACAAAGAATTTAGTCTTATTGTATGAGACCTTATAATGCCATTTAAAAACAAATGGATAAAAATAAAGCTCTATAATTCAGTCATAAAAAAAAATGCTGCTTTTGGTCATTTTAGATCTAACCATGTCTTTTAAAGTTTTTTGAAATGTTAAAAAATTGAGATAAAAATGATTTTATAAAATAATTATGGGGAATTGAGTATTAATGAGATTCAACGGGTGTTGTAATTGACAAATTTATAGGACAATTGAATTATTATCTGTCGTTTGCTGTCAGTAGTAATCATTGTTTTAAATATAGCTTAATTGATGAATATAATTGTCCTAAGATGTGATGACAAAAAGATGTGAAATCTTTCTTTAGATGATTTTGTAATGATTTAATTTTTGTGTAAAAAAGGAAATAACTAGCGTTTTTGATGTTTTGAATTTAACAAAAGGAAAAAAAGTATTGTATTTCGTTTTCATCTTCTCTCACAAGCATCTTAATTGGGAAAATTAGGATAAAATATCTATTTTTATATGAATATTTAAATACAACTCATATTCAAAATGCCTAAGCTTAATTTAAATTTCTTTAAAACCGCGTTCTTTTTATACCTTTTATTTTTTTCCTATTTTGTCTTAAAAATTGAAAGATTTCTTTCTCTCTTTTTTTTTTATGTTACCAGAATTTTTTTTTATTGAACATAAAAGAGCTGCTTTCAAATAATCTTGTAAGTCAAAGCGGATTTTTAAAATTTGAATGGTTGGAAAAAAAAGGGAACTTTTTCATCTCAATTTAGACATTATTCTTAAACTGTGACAGTCCACCCTATTTAAAGTTGACATTATATTCTGCAAATGAGATCACATCAGCCTAAATGATACGCGGAGAGAGACCTTTGAGATTTCATTTGAGATATCCGCCCCTTTTAAAGCGTCATTATCCCATTAAATATAATATTCCAAATCCCTACGCTTTAGAGAGTGTGTGACATCAGGTCTAATTCTCGCTTTTTGCCCTAAAAAAACTTAAGAACACAAAAAAAAAACCGTAACAACTTGTTTTGCATTTTCGATTAATAGCTGTATTAAAGAAATATGAACGTCATTGTTTCTTGTTATGTTTTTTATTTGTAAAAAAAACACCTTGAAAATTGGCTTAATGTCGCTTTTGCCAAAATAGGCTTATTTTCTGACATAGAAATATATGCGTTCTTTTTGAAGTCCGCTAGTAAAAAGTGTCTCAAAAAATTACTTTGTCATCATACGTTAACTTGTAAATTAAGATAATTTTTTTTTTGTTTTTTTTTTTTTTGTATGTGTACATAGATTCATGTTTAGAATGTTTTTGGACATTTTCGTGTAATCTGTTTAAAGTATGGCATTTCTTTTGAAGCGGGGAAAAAAAGGGAATGTTTTTACACATTAGGTTGTGTGTTATTATTTATTAATACGTGAAATTATTTATTTCGTTTTAAGTTTTTGACAAAAGTCCCTTATCCTATTTTGTTAAAAATACGAAGAAGAAAAAATTATTTTTAAAATTATTTTTTTGTAGTTGAGATTTTGAATTATTAAAAATTAGAAAAAGATTGATGTCATATGTTTTTTTTTTTATATTGCATAGACATTCAAGACTGGAATATTGACATTAATTTATAGTACAATGCACTTGAGAAAAGCTTGATATGCTACTTTAGCCCTCAGGGTCTGATTATAAATAACTTGCACTTAAAACCGAATTCTAGGTTCACCAGGGACTGAATATGAAAACCGAATTCTAATTATGTTATTCATATAAATATAGCATGAGGATAGAAACTGAAAATTTGTTCATTAGTGTAATTAATTATAAATTCAACTAATAATGTTTCAAAAATTGTAGTTTGGGTTATGAATGAACTGAATTTCGTTACAAGCGTTTAGAGTGCTCTCTTACATTGTGCTTAAGGCTCAGTATGCAGTAAACATTGATTAATCAGAAAATGAATTTAAAAAAACTGTTAAATTGAGTTTCATTACTAACGTTTAGAGTGCTCTCTTACATTGTGCTTAAGGCTCAGTTTACAATAAACATTAATTAATCAGAAAATGAATTTAAAAAAAACTGTTAAATTTAATTTCATTACAAACGTTTTGAGTGCTCTCTTACATTGTGCTTATGGCTCAGTATGCAATAAACATTAATTAATCAGAAAATGAATTTTAAAAAAACTGTTAAATTTAGTTTCATTACAAACGTTTAATGCGTTCTCTGACAGTGTGCCCAAGACTCACTAGGCTTGTGTATTTATAAGAATCTGTTAATCCTTAACTAATGGATATATCACTTATTTATTTATTACATTTTGTTTTCAAGTAAATACAGATTCTACAACCCTGAAATTCCTGATAATTTTTCCTATTATTCTTTTGCTGCATGAAGATGTTTATTTGTCAAGTAGCTAGTTTATAGAAAAACACATGTTAACTTTTTAACTTAACATGTTAACTAACGATATTAACTTTTTAAACGTACATTAATTGCTCATATTTTATTTTTAGGGGAAGATGGTGAGCCTGGGAAAGAGGGCAAAAGCTCTGAAGACCACTCAGACACTGCTTCTGTTGATGGTGATGACGCGAATGAGCAGCACTTAGACAATAATAGTAATTCTTCTCACTCCAGTCGTAGTTCAACTCCTGAGCTACCACCTCCAGCGTCTCCACTTCTTCTACCTCCACCACCACCTCCACCTCTCTTAAAAGAGGATCGAGAGATGGAATTATTAAACAAAGCCTCATCAGTAATGGACATATCAAGAAACGCGGTCCCTAACCCTGAGCTTATACAGACCGCAGACGAAGATGATGACGATGCTGACGAGGACATGGCCTCGAGTGTGGCCACAGAAGACGAAACACCTCTCGATTTTAGTGTAAAGCGAAGCACTGAAGACGAGAGTACGGATGATGACCGGTCAATAACACCAAATGGACTCAACCCACCTTCCATATCTCAGGACGGTCCCCTCGATCTGTCTGTGCCTCGGAGACGGAGTAGCAGAAGTGGGGGTCACTTCGAACATCCAAGGCAAGCTAAAATGGCCAAGTTGGACTCTGCTCTATCTGTGCCCAGCAGTCCTTGGGGTTATAATGCTCCGAAGCATTTACCCAAGACAATGGTCAAAGCAGCAGTGGTTGAGGTTCCCATGTGGAATGGTAAAGTAAAGTCTGATAAGCGTGATAAAAGCTATCATCACTCTGTATCATCCTCCAAACATTCTTCGCTCAACAGATCTAGTGCTTATAATCCTGTAATGCATAAAAATGCGAGCCCACCTTTAGACTCTTTAAAAGTGAGCAATAAAAGTTCTAAAAATGATCCCTTCAGGCCTGCAGGGAGACAAAATCCTTGGCAAAGTCAATGGATGAGTCGTAGTAGTGAGCAGACTAGGGACGTATTCACATGTGTGTGGTGTAAAGAAGCATTTCGAAGCTTAGCTGAAATGACAGTGCATATGAAACAATCACCTCGATGTGGTATGGCTGGCATGCAAAATACCCTTCCCGCAACATCCCCCACTTCAACGTCTTCAATGAATCATCAAGCAAATCTTCACCAATCCCCATTACCCGCTAAATGTTCCACTTCATCTGCATCATCAGCTGGGCCAGCAGCAAATGCTGTCATAAAAGAAAACGTTTCTCTTCCAAGGAAGCTTGTTAGAGGACAAGATGTTTGGCTAGGTAAGGGGGCAGAACAAACTAGACAAATACTGAAGTGTATGTGGTGCGGACAGTCTTTCAAAACTCTTGCAGACATGACTACACATATGCGTGTAACCCAGCATTATACGAATATCATCAGTCAAGAGCAAATAATATCTTGGCGAACACCTGAAGACAAAATGGCAGCTCAATCTCAAGTAAATGCGGTTCTCACTTGCAAAGTGTGTGACCAAGCATTTGGTAGTCTTAAGGAACTAAGTTATCATATGGTTAAAAATTCTCACTATAAGGAACATATTTTGCGCTCAATAACTGAGGGTGGAGGTAGACGTAGGCAGACTAGGGAAAGGAGGAAAAAATCTCTTCCTGTTAGAAAGCTTTTAGAATTAGAGAGGATGGAGTTGAACAAGCAAAATCCTACCAGTACAAACGATCTCATTACTCAGGCGAAGAATGAGGTTGTTGATGGTAAAATATCGTGTGAAGAATGCACCGAAAAAGTAGATGCCAAAGACTTTGTACAGCACATTAAGAACTGCGCTCAGGGATCTAGATCTCAACACTCTGTGAAGTCTTCACCTGGCTCAGAAGGAGCTAAATCCATGAGTGAAAACAATTTAGACACTCCCACCACATCAGGAGCTGTGCAAAGTTCTTCACCCGTTACATCCCAGGATCTTCCATCTGAAGAAGGAAGTAAAACACCAGGTGGTCAAATTCTTCCTCAAGAAGATAGTATGTGTGATAGCGTTGAAAGTACTGGTAGTACGTCTGTTTTAAATGCAATCGAGAAACTAATTGAAAAAAGTTTTGAAAGTAAGGGTCGACGAAATACTGTTTCTACAGGAATTTTGCAGCGGTTGGGTATTGATGAAGAAGTATATCCACCATGGCATCCATCTAGTTCACCCAGTGCTTTCGGGGCTTTACGCAGCTCATTAGATTTTCAGAGAAAATCTACATCTCCCTTAGGAAGGATGCACGATTTTAAGATGGAAATGGCTGACTTTTCTGGTTCTGAAAGTCGAAGTAGAAGTTCCTCTACCTCTGAGAAACATCCTAGTTTTGACGAACATTTAAGACTAACTTTTGGGCTTTCAGCAAAAGATGTAATGAATCGGGTATCCACTCCTAGTAGTGCTTCTCAATCTTGCTCACCTGTTCATTTTCAGCCAGAATCTCCTGCTGAAGATCGAAATGCAGTTTTCTTAACCAAAGAGATCACAAATTCCAATATAGCGTCTACTTCTCAAGTTGTTAGTAATGCGTCACCTAAAACCCGATCTACAACTCCTTCATCTGATCGAGAAATTCCAGAAAAGAATTCAGCCAAAGAAAATGAGCAAATGGAGAAATCCAAGGAAACTACAGAAAAAGAAGTTGAAGTTAAGGTTAAAGAAGAGCCAGAAGACAGAGCTTCTGACGACGAAAAGCCAATGGACTGCAGTAGCGCAATATCGCCTAAGAGTGAAGACAGGCGAACGCCTTTATCTAGAAGCTCGAGTGTCGAGCCCGAAATAGCTTTACCTACTAGTCCTTCAGCAATAAAAAGTGAAATGTCTCCAAACAAACACTCGAAAAGCATTCCGAAAAAGAAACGAAATCATGAAGTCCACCGAAAATCACCGTCGTCGAGCAGTAAGCGACGTTCTCATTCTCATCGTCGAAAAGACTCTGATACCGGCAATAACGAAGGTTGTGATAGTGTTCTTGGCTCACCTTTATCAGCTCATAGTTCTGACGTGACTTCACCCCGTCAGAAGTCACACAATGACTCTGCAGCCGGTGACCATCCTCTCAAAGAACTCCAAAAGTTGCTAGACAAAACCGACGCTCACCTCTCTCGACCAAATTTGCCTGCAACTCCTGGTTCCATCCTGGCTTTCAGTTGGGCATGCAGCGAGGCTACAACGTCAGACTCTTTAATGAAGTGCGCCTTTTGCGACACTCACTTCATATCCAAAGGTGCGTACAGGCACCATTTAAGCAAAATGCACTTTGTGAAAGACGGTAGTCTGGCTGAGATAGCTGCAGCTTCTACTTGGAAGCCGCCACCTTCTTCCTCAGGTAACAAAAATTCTGCTGGAGCCAGTAATAGTAATGGCTGCAGTGGTTCTGGATCTGCCTCTGGCAGCCGGACAGGCAACAACGAGCCAGGACACCCAGCTTCTCCCCAAAAAGAACTTGTTGCTCCAGCACCAGCTGATGAAAGTCCCCATTCCAAATTTCTCAAATACACCGAACTCGCCAAACAACTATCGAGCAAATATGTGTGATTTTGTGCATAGACATAATTCATTAAGTGTAAAAAAATTGATAAAATGGTGCCTCCATTACAAATGCCAAGTTTTTCTCTTTTTATTGGGATTCTCTTGACGACCCAGTGATATGAACAACTGGTGCTGCTACCCTGTTTGTGTACATCCAGTTGATAAACAAATGCATGAGACATTGACACAGACGCACAATGTCTGCTGGAACCTCTGTACATAGTTATAAATACACACTCCTATACATAGATCTATAAATATTATAAATAATTACGTACGGAACTCGAGTCTTACAATCTCAGTCTTAATCACCGACAGGTTATACAATTATTGAATTCTTAATAAAAAAAATTCTTGGAAAAGTAAGCACTCGTTTTAGAAAGCTTTCTTTTTGGTATTCTTTATAAAAATTTTGATGGGAGATAATCGCCTCTCTATATTCCAACATAAAAAAGCAAGTTCTGCTCTCAGGTTATTGCCAATAACAATAAAGAAGCACATTTTAGCAATCTTTGATTTTTATTGGTGCATCTTCTAATAAGGTCTGCAGCCACAGCCTTATTGTGTTTGATTACCTATTGTGATATTGCAAATATTTTATTTTAATTTAAGCCACAATTTTTTTTTATTATTATTATAATTCCACTTGTTAATTTTCTCTTAATATCTGTTTTTTTTGTTTTGTTTGATATGCATTAATTTTTTTTAAAATTATTTTTATAGGTAATAGCAGCGATTTAATCAGAAGAAATTAAATTGATATTAATACTAAGGAGTATAGACAATTTTTAGTGGGATTTCTTATTCTTATCTAATCATAATCTCCAACCCAGCATTAATATTTGAGATAAGTTGTAAAACATACATTAATGTAGTTTTGGTATTTAATTATTACCAATGTTATGAGTTTTTACGAAACCTCAATTATGAAACAGTAATTCAATTTAAAATACCGCAAAATCCATCTTTCTAAAAATTATATTTTACTTATATTTTTTAAGCATACTTATATTTTCCTATAAGCCAATTAAATTTTTATCTTAATGGTAACTTGCATTACAATTTGCTAAATTTAGGATTTTAGATTTCGCGCTTTAAACAAATTAAAGTAAGGAAAAAATCGTTCTTGTGATTACTGGAGATATAAATGTTATTATTTTGTTAACTGTAAAATGTTTTTATGCAGTATGAGTGAGATACTATATTGATACATGACAATTCATTTTAATGTGCAAAAAATTCTAAAGTTCTCAGTTCTGATTATTTCAAAACAATATTTCTAATTATATTAAGTCACTTTTTTAATAACTATCAAACGAATTGAAAAAAAAAAATGCTTAAATGAAACTCTGCAAATCATATCTTATATTTTACAATTTTAATATCGTTTCAATATTGTATTTAGATTTGCGAGCTGTGCTCGACTAAATGTATGAAGATTTATTTATATGATTAGAATATGCAATTATTTAAATAAGATATTAATTTTAGGGATGTAATAAAAATTAACTTTTAACATAGAAGTTATAGTTCACAAAAAAAAAGAGTCTGATTATTTCCAATTACTTAAATTATTAAAATAAAACGTAAAATGTTAGTTAATAATGCTTATTTATATGTTTTCAAGTGTTAAATTTCTCAGATATATTGCATAGAAACATTATAGACTAATATTGTATCGTTAAATTTTGTCTCTTTGTTGCTCAATATGTGGTGATGTTACTCGACGTTTTCTCAGTATTTTGTTAATTTGAAATTGACGTTTCTTTAAATCTGAAAACGTAGATTGGGTAGTAACTTGGCTGAAAATGACATATTCTAAATTGTTCTTTTTTTTTCTTCTCTTCAATCGTTTGCCAAATAGACTCCTGACATCTGTCAGTTGTGCAACGTCAAGTTGTTAAACGACAACAAATAATAGAAATTCTGTGTTTTCAGAATTAGCAATGTTTTTAGTTTTATAATGCCTTGAGAATAATAAAACCATTCTAATTTTATTTCAATATAACTAGAATATTAATGAAATTCTTAGTTTTAAAAATCAAAATTAGTATCATTAAAGTTATCTTTTTTCTATCAAGAGCAAAATTTTTTATTTAATCATTTTAAAAATTCGTTGAAAAATTACAAAGTATAAGTGAGAATAATTTTAAAGTAATTATTAAACTATTTCTATTAAATAATTTTTTTTCACTTATGTTACTTTGAAATTATCTAGATTTAAAAACTGTGCTTTTTAAATTACTAAATATTCGTTAAATGGACTTGGGAGTTTTGCGAAATTGGAGTGTTACTGTAATACGAAAGACAGCAGGCACATACGCACTTTTCCCTTCATTTATATTTTAATAAAAAGTTATGAGTATTTCATTTAAGTTACGTTTGACATATATGAAAAAAATATAAAAATAAGCACATGTTTTAATTTATAGAATAAAAAATCTAATTATTAGTGCTTAAAAAAACAAAACTGATTTAAGTTCAGATTAAGTTTTTATTGTTTAAATATAAACTAGGACTGATAGCTCTGCAACCATCTTAATCTATATTTCAAAACTAAAATCAAACTCAAAATCTAACGTTTTAATCTACGTTATAGTTTAAAAGCTTAAGTTTTTTTTTATTACCCATTCTACGTTTTTGGCTTACAAGAATATTCAATGTATTTTAGGGGTTGATACTCAAATGTGATTGTGTTGTAAATTTGGTTGTGACAAAAATAATACTATGACTATTATATTTTAATTTATGGATGTTATTTAAAACCACACATTAAAACATTCCGTTTAAATGTTCTCAAAAAGTTGTGATGTCATTTATGTGAAATGTCTTTTTAAAAAAATGTGATTATTTTTTCTGTCATAAGTAACGTGCTTTTAAATTTAATTCTAGCGTCATTCTCCTTAAACGTCTTTTGTTTGTTTAGAGATTTTATTTGTAAATGCTAATTGGCTGGCAGAAATATATTTTGTTTGATTATTTTATTATATATAGACTTAAAAAAAAAAGTAAATACATATCTTCAAAGTAGAAAATAAATGTACAGTTTTTTAAAATTCGTTTGTTGATTGCATTGGAGCATAACACACCTCACCTTCGCTGTGTACAATATTTTAAATTTGTCTATTTTTTCATTCGAATTTTAATTTCACATAAATTATGTACTATTTTAACTACATGTGTTTTATCTCATGTTGTCAATAGTTCAGTTATAGCTAACTGACAGAAGGAAGAAAAAAAAATTGTGATTTCGTATCTTGCACTTAGTGTGTCAAATTTGTTTTCCGGCAAATTATTTGTTGGAATGCTAACATGGAACAGTGAACTAATGTTTAAAAGCTACTCTCAGGATATAATGTTTTGTGTGCTCTTGAAAAATATCCCGTCATCCTTTTCGCCAGTACTTAAATGTTCAAGTATATGAAGAAAGACTCTCTGACGTTTACGACGTGAAAGTATGCAATTTTTCCTTAACTTTTTTTAATAACATGAAAAGTGACGCTTGGATATTCCTAATTAAGTTGAAATTTTAAAAAGTTCACTGAATTACAAATACTTTTTAAATATTCTGGTAAGTTTTTAAATGTGAAAGATTTTTCTTTTTAAAATCTAAATTTTTTTAAAAAATGAAAAAAAAAATTTTTTTTGCAAAGAAAAATAAAAAATTTTATTTTCTGCATTTTGGAAAGGAAAAATCTAATTTTTATTTTAAAGAAGAAATTTTTAATTTCTCCATTGTTTGGAAACTGGAACCTATGTGTTCTTTTATTTGAAAAAAAAAAAGAAATTTAAAGCCTTAGTTTTAAAGAAAAATTTCTTAATTCCCTTAATTTTAGTAAAAAGCTAAATTTTTATTAATTCTAGAGAAAAAAAAATCTAAATTCTCTCTAATCATTATTTGAATCTGTGGGGGTGTTATTTTCAACCTTATCAGTGTCACTTTTCAATTCTATTTTCATAAGTTACATTTCAAATACTAAAAATGAGCCAAATTCATGTGAGCTGGTCCTCTTAATGAATCCGTTGGTTTTATTATTTTATCCACTTAAAAGTTTGTTGTTGTGCAATGATAGGCGTCCAAGAGTCTTTCCAAGTAAATACCCCATATTCTATATTTTTTTTCTGAGTTTATTGGGTGTGTTCTGAGGAGTGCTTCCATTGCATATTGTCACTTGTATATACATTCATGATTCGTTATCAAATGTACATCTTTATATTGTTATTATTTATTATTAAGGTCTATCATCAATTTTCATACCGGAAGATCTATTAAAGAGGCTGTTTCCCGCTCCTCAAGAGAATATGTTTTATTTCTTACTTCCATTACACATGCATTTCACTCTTAAATCTACACTACAGTTGTACTACGTTTTTAATTAACTCGCTTTCTTTGATTGCAAAATTCTACTCATTTAGAATTTTGCAATCACCTAAACCTCCGATGATCAACACCTCCTAGAAGAGAGAAAGCCTCTACACGGATCAATTTAGTAGTCCGACGTAACGAACATAAACTGCGCGGTAAGCGCAATTACGAGAGATCCCTTGCAACAATTATATCTTGACCCCAGTTGGGCTCTAAATTGGCTCAATATAGGTCCTATATGAACCTGCTCCGAGGGATCAATATTGGAATGTCTAGAGTTTTTAATATTGGTTCTATGTAATGTCAATATGGACTTATATTGGCTGAATAATGATTATAAAATATCGGGTGTATCGGACAATTCTATATAGGGCCCATATTGGGAAAATATAGGGCCTTTCAACCCTTATTGTACCAAGATTCATGAATGTTGACCCAGTGAGGGCCCAAGTTTTTTTTGCTGCTAGGGACGTCAAAACATCTGTACTACTAAACTGCGCAGTGAGGGAAAGATAATGGTGTCACAACGTTCGGATTTCTAGTTTGAGGTAACAAGTGCGCTGGCTTTCTTTCTCCTATGAAGAGTTGGCTGGATGACATAGCAAATTTGAGTCTTTTTATTACAAACAGAATTTGTCACAATTTTTATCGCTAAATAGATTTTTACGCTAAACAAAACTATGAACACTTTTCGAAATGACTATGGCTTTCATATTTCTATTAGAATTATATACCTAAGGCTGATTCGCAGGCGAATGGTGCAGGTAAAGTTTGACGCCAATCGAAGTTTCAACTACTTCCCGAAATAAATTGACAGACACAAAACCTAAAAGTAAATTTTCATAACGTTTTCAAGTAGATTAAAAAGAAAATTCATTTTATTTTCATCAAGCATGATGAATTGTACGACGCATCACTTAATTGATCAAAAGTGATGCTTAATACGTTTTTATGCCTGAAAAAAATAAAATTCTGTTTTTCTATGTTCTTGGAAACATAGTTTTTAACGTTTTTTTTTTCAGATATTAAAATCAATTGTGAAATAAATTGGAAAATTACTTTATAATAATCTTGACGGATAAGTTTGCTTAAAAAATGTCAGAAACTACCACAAAATTAAAAAATTCCAGAAAATAATGTATATTATATTCATTAAACTATTTACTGACTACAAATAAATTAATTAAGAAGTGAGGTAAATACTTTTTCTGCACATTGTAAATCCATACAACCACTTTATTTAAATTTATTTTATGTGACTAGAGAATGAAATAAGCTACCATAATCAATCGTACACGATGCTGTTATTAAAATTAACAGATAACTTAACAATCATTGCTTATGTATAAAAAATTTGGTGTATTTTTTTAAAAAACAATTCCTAAATTGAGACACAGAATCTGGATTAAACTATTAATCGTTATTATTTACACAGTTATGGTATCTTGATATTTTGTTGAAAAATCTGGTTGTAAAAAAAAAAAATGGATTAATTTTACGGAACTGGACTTTCTTAAGTGGTTCTTTACAGTAGTCTTTTAAAATGTTGACACGAGGTAAAAATTTAAAAGCTCATGATGGAAATAAGTGCTTATCATTTTCATATATGACGGTGAATTTTTTTTTAACTTTTGAAATTTGCCTGTACTAAGATCGTAGCGAAATCCATCCCGTTGCAAAAATCACCTGCATTTTGCAATGTGACAAGCTAATTGCAAACGTTTCAGTATATTTAAATCTGTCTGAAAATTTTTGGCTTATTACAATCAGCCTTTAAACTAATTTGCGAAGAATCTGTCAAACTGAATTTGCTTAAGCTTCTTTCTAGAAATCTTTAAACAAAGCTACTTACGGTGAGCTTTAAGTACTCTGGGTCTACAACAGGCAATTTTATTTTTTAGAAATTTACATTTAAAAAAAAATTCCTGGGCTTTACAATCCTTATATTCAGGACTAATGTCTATGGCAGAATAAAAGTAAAATTTATTATTTATTTGCTACTTTTTTAAAAGAAGTATACATGATTTTCGTCAGGGCAATTGCTCTTAACGTTTCCACAATACTAAACTAATATTGAACCTCAGGCAATTTTAACAACTGTGATGATTCTGAAGAAGTGAATCAAATTTTTAACAACCTCGCCTGTGTTTCAAATATGCCGTGCAACGAGCATTGTATGATGGATTCGTCATCCTCTAACATAGATCCATGCGATTCATCAATACCAGGAAACGAGACCGGGGCGTCTTCTGGCAATTATGCTGCCCAAGCCCCACTGAAGTATGACAGTATACGCAGAGGGTGGTGTCTAAATATTCGGACTGTCAGCAACCCAAAGATGGACTGACAGTTTCGGGTAAAAGAAGATGTAGAGGCCCATCAAACAATCCATCATAATCATCAGTTGACAAGAACAAAGGAAGAGAGAGAGAAAAAAAAATGGCGAAATGCGTGGGTTGTCCTGAGCTTAGAATTTTGAAATTCTTTTGGGTTTGGCTCAAGAACACGCGAAAAGGCAATTAATAGTTCAATTGCATTTGGTTCTGTCATTCTGATTGTGGGTATACCGTGTTTACAGAGATTACGACGTCTTCTTTGGAAGTT